CAAGCAGATGGCTCCCTGCACCCCGACCCAGCAGAGGGCTGTGCAGCAGGTGCCAGGGTCTGCACCGGGCCGTGGCCTTGCCCCCGTGTGCTGGCACTGGAGGTACCAGTGGTTTGGGCACTCCGTGGAGTGGCACTTCCAGGCTGAAGGTCTCCACCAGGGGTTATCCCAGCTGCCTGCTGCCAGGCCAGGGGCTTTTGGAGTGGAGAAAGGGTTTGGTTAGGTGCCCTGGCAGAGACCTTCTGGGCACAGCATCGCCCACCCCAGCCCAGCTCACAGTTAAAAAGCATGGCATAAAAAAATGCAGCTGTTTACATTCTTTTAGCCTTTGAAAAATTTTAGATATATCTGTCTGATTAAAAAAAAAAAAAACCACAAGCTTTTTTAGATGTGTTTACTTGGTGCAGAAATTGCCTGCCATGTCAGGCATAAATAAAGTACACCAGCAATTTGGTTATGCATCTTGCAGCTTTTTATTTTTTTTAGCATCTCCTGAAGTAATGTATTGAGAATCTCAGTTTTCAGTGGTGCAAAAAGAAGAAAACTACCATAGTCATTACAGTTGCTGGGAAGTGAATGAAAATAAAAGCCTTAAAGACGCTCTAAGCTGAAGATAAATACAGACAACAGGGTTTTAATATAGGGTTTAAATATAGGGTTTTAATAGACAAACTCAATGTTTGTCTGTTAAAAACAGGAAAATGTTAGGAATCCTCAACCAAAGTACTCTAGTTCCATCAAGAATCATTCAATGATTTGTTATTATTACTAATATTGGTTGATAGCAATAGTGGAGCTACAGTGATCCCTCTAAGATGTCTCCGATTTCATGGCAAGAGAGGTCTTGCAGTCAACCTTGACTGTGATATATCTTCTTTTCTCTTCCTTGTCTCATCTATTAATATTCATGATCTCCAAAATAAAAAGCATCAATTCACCACTAAGTTCCTTAAGCAAACTTTGCAGTTGATAAATCCAAACCTGTGAGCTTGGTTTCGTTCTGTTGAGTTAGTTTTGTGTGTGGATTTAAGGATTGTTGAACCTGTCATGACATCTCCAGAACTGCACAGCATAAAGGAGGGAACACAGACTTCCCCCCACAACCCTCCTCTGCTACACTACACAATTCTGGGTGGTTTTAGAAGGTTCTTTATTTCCAACAACTATGTGTGCTCATCAAAAGCAGTTTGTATTGGAACTTCTTTCTCCCCAACTTTTCATTAGACACACACAATACTGAGCTATTACACTTTATTTTTAATAGCTACAGCAGAAGATTCTGCTCTGCACACCCCAGTGCACACAATAAAATAACTGTTTGGCAGGGGGAAAATGCCCTCTTGTCTTGCAGTACCAGTTGGTATTATGGAGGTTTGTTCGGTGTCTTATTTATAGTAGATTGTGAATGGAAATGTGATACAAAACAAACACCAATGTTCCAGTGCCTTAACCGTGCATCAGATTTTTACTTTGATAGTTATTTTTATTTCCATCATCTTTTATCATGACTTGAGAAATTACAACAGCGAAGGGGACGGTCCATCTGCTGAGGTCTCAGCATCCATGCTCCTAAAAGAGAGATAATGTTCCATGTCCTACCCTCCAGGAATGCTCCCGGGCAGATTTGTAGTTGTGCTGATGCTCCTTTACAGTGCTGGTAGAGATAGTTCATTCCAGTCATGAGACCTCAGGCTAGTAGTGAGAATCCTGTGAATGGAGAGTTTATAACCTTTGCTTCTCTGTTGATTTCTGTTTTTTTTTTTTTTTCTTATTGCATATCAAAAGCACTTTTTTTAGTGTTTGTTTAAAAATCTGGTTTCCTTTCAAGAAAAGGGGGCCCAGGTTTTGAAACTCCTGAGGGCTGCTTGCAGTGATCTTTCTCGTTGTTTTGGCTTTTGCTGACCTTTGGCTGGGCTTATGTTTGTGTGTGCAGGTATGTGTATGTGCTCCAGGTGTATACAGAACGTTCATGCTTTAATACCTCCACTCTTCCTCTCCAGCAGTGAGGAATTCAGTGGAATCTTTTTTTGCAGGGATACAAAAATGCACAAAAAGCACATTTTTTTAGAAGTCTAGCTCAGTGGCAATCCTACTAAGGCGAGTATTTTGTAGAGAAATGGTGTCCAAGTATTTCTAGTCAGATTTCAAATAAAATCCTAATTGGTTTTCTCTCTTTTGGTCTGCAGTGGCTTCCAGCTCCTACCTTCGTGCATTACTAAGCAATAAACATTTCTTGGCTCACTTACTGGCTTTGTTGTGTGTGCTTCCAACATGTGTGAGGAAAGCCTTCCTTCAGGAGAAAGACTGAAAAAAACTCGTTAAGGCAGAGAAGACCAAAAATGAATCATTTCATTACTTTTTAGCCTGCGGTTGGAGCAAACTCTGTTGTCTGCTCAGTTTAAAATCAGATGATTTATACCCAAAAGGTGCATAGGAACCTCTGCATTGGTTTTAAACGTTTTCAGAAATGCCTTTGGATAAAATGAAGGGGGAAAATCTTTTTGGTGCTGTTTGGTTTTGAGGTTTTCTTTGGCTTACATATGTTTAAGAACGTGCCACAGCCCTGGTCAGGCATGGGGGTCTGCAGAGAGTCCAGGGCTCGGGGCTGTTGGATGTGGTTGAACATCATCACCCACATCTTTCCCATCTGCAGTCAGGTGGATGTGCATGGATACTGAAATATCTCCCTGGAAGGTGATGGGCTGCAGCAGGAGATTTTGACAGTTCTATTTCTTTAATTTAAGTGTTTTTCTGAACTAGAATCATATTACCAGCTTTGTTTTTCAAGCTCATATTTATACACACACACAAAAGAAAGCCTTCACCCTTTCAAAGAGATGCCTGGATATACACCTAGAGAAGAGGATGGTGCATATCTCATCTTACAAAGGCCTGAGTGTTTTCTTGGATATGGGTATGGTGTATGAACAAACACTGAGTATCTGAAGTCCTTCCTCAAGCAATAAGTATTCACTGATCTGGCTAAAGCACTGTTTACTCTCTGAACAATCTGAGTCTGTCTCTATTTGCAGAGAAATTCCTTCCAATATTTTTCCTGGTCAGTTGTTTGGATGGAGGCTGGGTCTGCTTTCAAAGCACTTGTCTTTTAAGCGCATCAGGTTACCCTGAGGTAAAATGGAAACCTTAGATGTTACTCCTGTAAATAAATGTTTACATAATACATGGCACTGAACTTCTCGGCATTGCATGTCTAAGAAAAAAGGTCACTTTTGACATCAGTAACCTTTAGAGAGTGGTGCCTTTGCCACACAGGTAAAGAAAGTTACTGTGCACAGCACATTCCTCACTAGATCAAGAAGGTAGGAGAAGTCAGCTGTTACTGCTTACATCTCCCAAAGCTTGGCATTTTAAGCTTTGAAGGCAAGACTTGGGTTTAAGGCATGGGTCTCCTGTAAACAGCACATGCCCAATTTTGCTCATGTGAGTAGTTCCATTGAATTCCCTGGCACTAGTGGGGTATGAAAAGCCAAGTCTGTAATGTATGTGTTTGTGAGGTCAGGGCCCCAACTCTTCATTTCTAAATGAGAAACTTCCTGTAAAGCATTCATGGTAACAAAAGATAATGGTTTTATCTCTCTTTAGGTTTGCTGCTTTTGCGTCAGAACACTTGCCCAGCACCAAACATAAAAACATTACCTTTCTATAAAACAGCAGCAAAACTGCTGTGGTGTGAATAGATGAAGGATTTCTGCCTGAACTTGATCCAGATGTGTAGCAGAAGAGGGAGCTTGGTGTTCCCCTGTGGAATCCATTCCACAGGGTAAACAACAACTGGACTCTTGGGATTGTTGGGTGTTGGGTGCAGAGCCCACGAACAAGTGCATCAGCTCACCCACTCTGTGATACAGGGGTACCATCGGCAGTCCCGTGCTTTGGGCTGTGGGATGCAGTGGAAAGGAGATCTTGATGATAAATGCGTTTTTGCTGCTTTTCTGTTTAAAATATTGGCAAAACCTGTAGGTTTTCAAACACTGCAAAAAAAAAAAAAAATCGAAGTGGGATTTATGATGTTGCAGCCTTCTGCCTTCATATATTAATTGAGTTTTATTCAAGGAATGCAGAATTAATAGTAAGAGTGATTAGCTTCACATATGCCCGTGACAAGACTTTTTATGGCTTTTGATGTGCACTGCGTTTTTGGATTGCCCAGTTCCTTTGTCACTTCCCTGTCCAGCTCTCTCATTCCTCCCCTACCATTTAAAGATAAAAGTTTGTTCAACATCAGTCGCTGTTGTGATGCCTGGGCAGCTTTCCTCGCACGGCAGGAGCGGTCAGGGAGCCTTGTTTACAGCTGTGGGGCCGGTCGGGTTTTCTTTGGGGGCATTATTTCACATATTTCATTCCCCCCCCT